GAGGCTGACATTGCAGTAAGCTGAGATCACACCACTGCATTCCAGCCCGGGTGACAGAGTGAGACTACGTCTCAAAAAAAAAAAAAAAAAAAAAAGAAAAGAAAAGAAAAGAAAAAAAGGAAAAAAAAAAAGAAAGAAAAAACAGAAGTATTTGGCGGATTTGGCAATTAATTCGCATGGAGGGGAGTCACAGGGAAGGGCAATCAATATACTTTTGAAACAGGATTTTTTTTTTTTTTGCTCTTTAGACTCTATTTTTTAATACATAAATGTTCCTTTCTCAGTAATTAATGCAATAAGTGAAATTAAAATCAGTATGGATGTAAAAAAATGGACATTAACAGCCAAGTAGACATACTTAACATTTATAGAGCATGTTACAAACAATATCAGAGAGAGTACATATTCTTTTAAGACTTAGGTTTTTTTTAGAGCAGTTTTAGGTACACAGCAAAACTGAGAGATATGCAGAGATGTTCCATATACCTCCTTCTCCCTCACGTGCATAGCCTTCTCCATTACCAACAATCCCCACCAGAGAAGTACGCTTGTTATAACTGATGAGCATACATTGACACATCACCATTACCCAAAGTCAATAGTTTACATTAGGGTCCACTCTTAGTGTACACTGTATGAGTGTAAGTAAACAAATAGTGACATGTATTCACCATTGTAGTATCATACGGAGTAATTTCAGTGCCCTGAAAACCCTCTGTGATCTTCCTAGTCATCTGTCCCTCTCCCACGCCTTTCCCCAATCTCTGGCAACCTGATCTTTTTACTGTCCTCTATAATTTTGCCTTTTCCTCAATGTTATATAGTTGGAGTTATACAGTATATGTAGTCCTTTCAGTTTTTTTTTTTCAGTTGGTCATATGCATCTAAAATTCCTCTATGTATAAACACACTGTGGTACATCCAAAGAATGGAATATTATTCAGAATAGGATTTTTTTAAATAAACGATTTAATGTATTGCTATTTATTAAGGTCTCACAACCACAGTCAAATTGGGGGTCACAAACTGACAAAAAGCAAGAAATCTAGAATTCAGAAGAGGTCGCTCTTTTTTCTCCCAGATTTACTGAGGTATAAATGACCAAAAAAATTGTAGATACTTAAAGTATGTAATATGAATGCATTGTGAAATGATTACCACAACCAAGATAATAAACATGTCCATCACCTCACACAGTTACCTTTGTGTGTGTCTATGTACAGTGAGAATGTCTAAGATCTACTCTCCTCATATTGCAAGTAGACAGTATTACCAACTCTAGTAACCATGCTGTACATTAGATCTCCAGCATGTATTCATCTTATAACTTTGAAAGTTTGTATGCAAAGTCTCCCCATTTCTCCTACCCCTCAGCCCTGGGCAACCACCCTTCTACTCTGTTTCTAAGAGTTCGACATTTTTAGATTCCACATATGCGTGAGATCGTGAAGTGTTTTTTTGTCTACGTCTGGTTATTTTACTTAACAGAATGTCCTCCAGGTTCATCCACGTTGTGCCAAATGAAAGGATTTCCTTCTTGAGGGACGAATACTATTTCATTGGGTATATGTGTGTGTGTATATATATAGATATACAGAATGATGTAAATATATGCATATTATGCATATGCATATCAAATCACGTTACATATATATCTATATATAGATATCTCACGTTTTCTTTACCCACTCATCTTATAACAGACACTTGCGTTGTTTTCATATCTTGGTTATTAGGAATAATGCTCCAGTGACCATGGAGTGCAGACAGCTCTTCAAGACAATGATTTCATTTCCTTTGTACGTATATCCAGAAATTCCTAGATTGTATAATTCTCTTTTTGATTTTTTAAGGAAACTTCATAATATCGTCCATAATGGCTGTATCAATTTACATCCTCACCAACAACATGGAAGTTTTCCTTTTCTCCACATCCCTGCCAACATTTATCTTTTGACTATTTGATAACAGCCATCCTAACAGCCATCATATATCATTGTGGTTTTGATTTGCATTTCCCTCATTAGTGATGTTAAGCACTTTTTCATATACCCACTGGCCATTTGCATATCTTCTTTGGAAAAATGTCTATGCTGGTCATTTGCCCATTTTTTAAAATCTGGTTATTTGACGTTTTTGCTATTGAGTTGTATGAGTAAGACACAGTTTCAACGTTTGTCCTCTCCAAATCTCACGTGGAAATGTATTCCCCAATACTGGAGATGGGGCCTGGTGGGAGGTGTTTGGACTATGGGAGCAGATCCCTCATGAATGGCTAAATGTTGTCCTTTTGGTGATGAGGGAGTTCTTGCTCTGGTAATTAACATGAGATCTGGTTGTTTAAAAGAGCGTCCCACCTTCTCTCAACCTCTTTTGTTCGCTCTGTCTTCCTCTCTCTCGCCATGTGATGCACTAGCTCTGCCTCCACTTTCAGCCATGATTAGAAGCTTCCTGAGACCTCACCAGGAACAAAAGCTGGTGCCATGCTTCCTGTACAGGCTGCAGAAATGTGAGCCAAACTAGACCTGTTTTTGGTTTTGGGTTTTGGTTACTGATTTATTTTTTTGAGACAGAGTCTCACTCTATTGCCCAGGCTAGAGTGCAGTGGCATGACCTTGGCTCACTGCAACCTCCATCTCCCAGGTTCAAGTGATTCTCATGTCTCACCCTTCCCAGTAGCTGGGACTATAGGTGTGTGTCAACATGCCTGGCTAGTTTTTGTACTCTTAGTAGAGATGGGGTTTTACCATGTAGGCCAAACTTGTCTATAACTCCTTTCCTCAACTGATTTGCCCACCTTGGCCTCCCAAAGTGCTGGGATTACATGCATGAGCCACCATGTGCCTGGCCCAAAATAAATTTATTTTCTTTATAAATTACCCAGCCTCAGGTATTTCTTTGTAGCAATGCAAAAATGGACTAGAAGTCATATATTTTGAATATTAACCCCTTATTGGATATATGGTTTGCAAATATTTTCTCTCATTCCAGAAGTTGCCTTTTCATTTTTGTTGTTTCCTTTGCTGCTGTAGAAATCTTTTAGTTCAATGCAGTCCCACTCATTTCTTTTTGCTTTTGTCATCTGTGTTCTGGTGCTACATCCAAAAAAATCATTGCCAAGACCAGCGGCATGGAGCTTTTCTCCTATGTTTCTTCGAGTAGTTTTAAAATTTCAGGTTTTACATATAGGTCGTTAATCCATTTTGAGTTGATTTTTATACACAGTATAAGACTAATTTCTTTCTTCTGCATGTGGACATCCGGTTGTCCCAACACCATTTATCAAATAAACTGTCTTTTCCCTATTCTGTGTTCTTGTCATCTTTGTCTAAATTCAATTGGCTATAAATGTATGGGTTTATTTCTATGCTGTCTATTCTGTTGCATTGGTCTATGTATCTGTTCCTATGTTAGTACCATACTGTTTTAATTACTATAGTTTTGTAATATAATTTGAAATCAAGAGCTATGGTGCCTTCAGCTTTGTTCTTGCTGAAGATTGCTTTAGTCATTTGGGGTATATTGTGGTTCCATGTGAATTTTAAGTTTTTTTGTTATTACTATGAAAAATGCCACGAGAGTTTAAAAATTATTATATGTACATATTTATGGGGTAGAATTACATGTTTTGATACATATATAGGTTGTATTATGATCAAATTAGGGTATTTCACATGACCATCACCTTATGCATCTATCATTTGTGGAAGGGCATTCAAAAGCTTCCCTAATTATTTTCTAATTTTAATATGCCATGTCTTACTGTTAACTGTCCTCACCCTACTGTGTAATAGAAGTTGAACTTATTCCCGCTATCTGATTGTAACTTGGACCACAGACCAACCTTTCCCCATCCTCCCATCCTCCTCCTCCCGTCTCTGGTAACCACATTTTAAACTCTCTGCTTCTATGATCCCAATTTTATTTTTAGATTCCAATTTTTTAGTTTTTGAAATAAGCTCTTTCTGTGTCTTATTTCACCTAACATGACAACCTCCAGTTGCATTCATATTGTTGCAAATGACAGGACTTCTTTTTTTAATGGTAGAATTATCCATTCTGTATATATACCACACTTTTTTATCTATTCATCTGTTAATGGCCACTTGTGATTCCATATCTTGACTACTGTAAATAGCGCTGCAATAAATAAAGAAGTACAGATAAATCTTTGACATACTGATTTCGCTTCTTTCGGATATATATCTAGTAGTGAAATTATGGAATCATATGCATATTATAGTTCTATTTTTGATTTTTTGAGGAACCTCCATACAGTTTTCTATAGTGTTTGTACTAATTTACATTTTCACCAACAGTGTATCAGT